AAATGTTAGGAGCCTTATGTTATTCAGTTATTAATCAATTAATCCAAAAGTTAGTCCCCAGGTCAGTCCCACGCTTTACTGATGTTACATCAAGCAGCTTTTCACGTGTTGTTAGAAGTATTTTTATTTTTTTGCATCAGATGCATCCTTCGCTACAAATGACCAAGTGTTCACTATAGCATTTTTTCTTATTTAAAAGGAATTATTCATTAATTTGCATCTTTTAATGTATTTATAAAATGGTATAAACAAGACTTAAATGAAAAATCTGCAGATTTATTCTCTTAATTGTTAAAATAAGCGATGGATTAATTGGTAACTAAAATAATCGTTAGTTGCAGCTCTAAATCCAAGTTGCAAAACCATCATCCAGCCTCAAACAAAACAAAAAACGGTAAAAAAAAAAAAACCACGAGACTGGGAGGAAGTTTCACTTTAGAGCTACAGGTTCAGATCAAATCATATTTTAAATCCTTCTGAATCTGAGGCTTGAAACTTGTCATTCCTGCCACACCCACACTTTCCATCTAATCTCACTGAGCCTGAGATATTTCACTGCAAAAACACCTAATCTTACCAACTATTTTTAGTCTAATTTCTAGGGCAAATATCTTTTTTCACTTGAAATAAGTCAAAACTAACTTACAAGTAAGTCTTTGGCAGGATAAATAGACTTTTTTCAACTGAATAATTCCTTAATATTGGTTACAAAGTACTAGTTCCATTGATATATAAAGCTACTTATAACAAGACAATTTTCCCATGGTATAAGTGAAATAATCTGCCAATGGAACAAGTACTTTCTAATCAATATTAACAGTTTATTTACTTATAACGAGCTTCTATATCTCACTGATAAGTAATGCAAAGTAATTAATGTGGAAGGCTAAATATGTACGCCTCACTTTTTAGATAGTTTTTAGTTAATTAAGACTCTGATTTGTTATTTTCCTTCCACTTCACATGTATGTACTGCGTTGTGTTGGTCTTTCATGTAAAATCTCACTAAAATACACTGAAATATTCCTGTAACAGTTCAAAATGTGGAAAGTCTTGTGAATACTAAAGCGTGGCATTGTGGAAAAGCTTCGCAGAATCCCATCGGCGTCTCTGATTCGAGATTTTTTTTCCCCCGCTGTCTTGGCTTTCTTTTACAGACAAGTGTTGATGCAGCTTTGTGACATCTCCTGCTTCCGAGGCGCCCTTTGACCCCCACATTCTCCTCCGTTCCTTACTAACAAGACGGCTATAAACACCAAAGGCTCTTCAGTCGCATCTTGAGCAGACTGTGTGAAAAGGCCAGTCAGGAAAGGACATTTCTTCCTAAACTCTTATCTTATGATTGTCTTTTTGCAAACAATGAACAATATAGATTTAAAGTAATGGTGAGGTGGATGGGGCTGTTTGTGGACCAAACTCAGTCAGTGATTAAGGTAGTGGAATCCTAAATTCAAGTTAATACTGAACAAAAGGGATGTTGTTGTGGCTGCGTCCATCTTTTATGTACTCTGTGGTTATGAAACGTGTTTTTCTTCTTTGGTTTCTCATGTTTGCTTGTGTGTTGATTTAATGCCAATGAAACTCGGTTGGGTCACAGATTTTTTTAAAAAATATATATATATCTATTTAAAAGCCATAAGTGGTATTGGTGTTGCTGTTACAAACATAAATTTGTGTTTATCCTACAGCTTTATAGGGATTTAATTATTTTCCTGCTGCTCTTTCAGATTTTCTTGAGATGTATGAATTTAGAAACTGTATTTGTTATGATTAATACTTTGCAATGGACATAAAAAATCTTCACGTCCTCTTAAAATACCACGTATGATCAAGATGAATCATTTTAGACCTTTTTCCACTTTTAATGTTAAATTTTTTACAACTCATCTAAAATCTGTTGGAGAGGAAAAACCTGTTTTTATGGGTTTTTACACCCTGGACATGATGTAGAACCAGCAGAGGTTTCTGCTTATGACTTGGATCTCCATAAGGTCTGTGGGCTAAAAGACTTTTTAAAGGCCTTTTCTTTTACAGACCTTTTCTTTTAGAGAAAACATCCAGGCATCCTAAAACACCCAAAAAATAACTCTACACATCACCAACAGAGCTGTAGTTTATTAAAAATGTTGTCTTCATAAGTCGCATGCAATTAGACTTTAGATTCCTGCATTTTCTTTTTATTACTCTGGTTCATTGCTAAACAAAGTAGACGCCTACTACTGGAGAAGCTTAGAAGTGCACCTTTTGGTTTGGGGAAGATTTAAGACTCCTGCTTACATTTATAAGTCACATTCAGTAGGCACTACTAGCAACCCCACCAGAGCTCAGCCTGTTACCTAGCAACCCAAAATGAGCTCAGCCCGTTACCTAACAACCCCACCCGAGCTCAGCCCGTCACCTAGCAACCCCACCCGAGCTCAGCCCGTTACCTAGCAACCCAAGCTGAGGTCCAGAACGTTTATATCAAAACTACTGATAGAAACTTCTAGTGGGAATAGATTCAAGTGGCTCTTGCATTGTTAGATTTTATGATGAGTTTAAAGAAATTTGTTTCGTGTCAAAAGAGAAACAATCCTAATAGTTACAATAAAGTATTTTTTTAGTTTGAGGCCTACAAAGAAAAAAAAAAAAAACTTGTTTTTTTTTTTCCAAGTGGTCATTTGTCAGTTGAGTCTATTTTACTCCTTTATACTCAGATTCTGTCATTTATATCCATATCTCATACAAACTGTTCACCCAACAGTTTGATTTTTTCCCCCACTATGTTAAATGTTTTATAATACATCTCACAAGTGGAAGGAAAAGTTACTTTTCAGTTACTCTTTTTTACATTCCCGAAAAGGGAAATTGTACAGACTCATCTGGCTGTTTTATTATAACAGTTACAGAAAAATGTCACTATAAACATACTTCATGAAGCATGGTGGTGGCAGAATCATGTCCTGTGTTACTTTTCTTCAAATGGAGTTTGTGTTTTCAAAGTATGAACAGTCGTAAATATGAGCCGGTTTTGGACCAAAACCTTTTGGATGTTTTAGTTTCAGTTCAGAATCAGTTTTGTGGAAAAAGGTTTCAAATGGATTATGTTGGTCTTATATTTTTCAGAACACTAAAATCTGCTTTTTATCGAGTTTATTCACATTTTTTGACTGCACTGTCCTACAGATCAACAAGTAAATATATTACTTTGTGACGCGAACAAAAAGAAGCTCAGGTGTTGCATTTATTTTTAAATGAAGCTGGAGTGAGCGTACGAACATGAAGCTGCTGATGTTATGAATTCAGAGCTTTTAGCAGAACAGATAACGGTGAAGGTGTCAATAATTTCTGGTGCTGGTCGGTGTGACTGCTTCTGCATATCTGCCTGATACCGATGATTTTTTCTGATTCTAAATAAATGAATAAAGGGTTATTTGAGACGATGCTTCAGTCAAGTATTTTTCTTAAGCATGTTATTTCATCTTTAGAAATCTTTACTGTTTATGTTTTCTCTGCTAGCACCATAAATGTGATTTAGGTGACCTCATAAATGTTTTTTTCTCAATCACTTCTGAATTTTTCCCCAATGGGTAAAAATGTTCTCCCATTTTTAAAACTCTTTTCTAAGTTTTCTAGGAAACATTTGTAAAAATCATTTTTGTTTTTTCCGGTTTTTCAAGCTTTTTCAAGATGGAAAAGCAGAAAAATGTTTAGCCTGTATCTTCTCTAAACAGGCCTGTGAGTAAAGAGGGAAAGGAGGAATTTCTCTTCCTGTTTTGGTACAAACAGATTTGAGAGTGACGAGGAGATAAGAGCTCAGACGAGACAGGCAGGACACGAACGCAGAGGAAGCTGTAAAACCTGAGCAGAGAGAATCGGCCGTAGAAATGACTTCAGACGGCAGATTTCAGTTTTTAAGGCTTTGGGGTGAGGAAGAGGAAGAGTTTAGTGAGGAAGAGGAAAGAAATAACTCTGTTGGTGAGGAGCGGCCACTTTGTTTGGGAATCTCAGAATGGCACAGGTGTGATCTTTTAGATGGTAAGTGTTAATTTACTGATTGGAAATTTCTGTCCTTTTTCTTCTCGTTCCTTTAAAAAGGAAAAACTTTTGTACTTCCATTTGGGTCTGAACTGCTTCTAAAAACATTCAGAGCACTTAAAAAAACTTTCAGACATTTTCTGGCAATAAGTTACTTGTTTATTTTGGTGTCTGGAAAAATAGCCTTTTCAAAATCCTCCTAATTATTAAGTCACATTTGTTGGGCACTACGCCGTTACCTAGCAACTAAAGCTGAGCTCCAGAATGTTTTTTACAAGCTGTACAATGGCTGCTGGAATACACGAGTGTTTTGTTGTTGACTTACCAGCCAGAAACGACTTCCTGCATTTCTTGTTGTTTGTGCAGGAGGCTCCACGTCTGCTTTTCAGAGATGCACGGTTGTATAATTGCACATCTGTTTCATGTGCGAGTGTAAATGTTGAATTTGGATTTAAAAGTAACAGAGGTCCTAAAACATTTCATTCAGAAAGAAACTCAAAACAGGCAGAACTGATCAGACTAAAATCTATTTATCTCAGAATTATTTTCTTAAAAAGAAATGTGACGAACATGTTTTGTTTAACCCATAGATCTAAACTAACCTGTTCGAGGAAGCATGAAGGTCACCTTTAAGAAAGTTTCAGAAATGAGTTGTACTTCAGAATCTTTAAGGGGCCCTCCGTTTGTGGCAGAAATGTTCAGATTGTTGCTCCCGTCCTGCAGGGTGTTCAGACCCAGCCAGCCTGGACTCTCTCAGCCCCCAGGAGAAGAAGAGGCAGGGCTACATCCACGAGCTGATAGAGGCGGAGGAGAGATATGTGGAGGACCTGCAGGTTGTGCTGGATGTAAGTAAATGAAAGTAGTGCAAATAAAATATGACGAAACATTTGCTTTGCTCTTCGTTTCATTTCTGCACGTTCATCTTACTGCTGTGTTGGTTGCAGGTTTTCTACAAGCCGATGTCGGAGTCGCGGCGGCTGACTGATGCAGAGATGGCCATGATCTTCGTCAACTGGAGGGAGCTTCTGGCCTGCAACAGTAAACTCGTGAAGTAAATATCATCTGGTGGAGCGAACAGAACCAGAACCAAATGAAGTATTCAGCATTTTAAAAAAAGATGTTTTAAACAACTTTGTGGTAGCACATCATGGCCTGTTTTTATTTTCTCTAATGAAACCCTGATATTTGTAATGAGACCCCTGATGCAGCACTTTGTAGAACCACCTGCTGGACTTTGACTAGGCCAGAAAAAAACAACTTTGGGCAAGTTGATCAAATTTGGGCTGATTTTCACATTTGGTGGGTTTTTAGAACATTTTCAGAGGAAAATTTGATCAAAATAGTAGAAAAAGCAAAAAATAAAAAAATTGTTACATTTTATACAATGCCATTTCCTTTCCCTCTTTTTTAGTTGATTTATTTTGAAATGTCTACAGTCTGTTGAACGTGACATCATCAGTAGATTTGATTACAGACTCATAGTCCAGATCACATAAACGAACAATAAGAATATATAAAAATATAAAATAGAATATACTTTATTGATCCCCAAAGGGAAATTGCCTATTTGTTGACAAGTTACTCCATTTAAGGCAGCGCTGTCAAACTTATTTTCGTTTTGGGCCAAATCAAGATCATGGAGGCTCTTAAAGGGCCCTTTGGTGCCAGAATGTATTGATAAAACCAGCAAACAAACCTTTAAAATACTTAGAAATTCTTTAAATTACATTATATTGACCATCTTTTCACATTGATCAGTCCTTCCAGGGTTTTGTGATTATTTGCAATAAAAATTAAATATCTGTGGTACTAACTTAGAAATTAGTACTTATTGATAAAATAATATTTAAGCACACTGTTATCTTGACTGTTCTGTTTATGATTCCCTCTAAAGTCTAAAGAGCCACATAAAAAACTATGGCGGGCTGCATTTGGCCCCCGGGCCTCGGGTTTTGACACATGTAATCTAAGTGTTAAATTTTAATAATACAAATATAACCACAAGAGATAAAGTTTATAAAATGTATATATACCTAAAAGTAACTCAATATGACTAACTATAAATACATAAATAACATGGAAATATATTAATCTACAAACAGTCTATAAATGAGAGCAGAGAAAATTAGATTTAAGTTACTCAGACCTGAACATTGTAAATAAATAAAACAAAATGCCTAACCTTTTAGGAAGCAATCATACTTATAAATACTTTTTGCACATTTCTGGATGCTATCTAAGCTGATAAATTTAACCATAGATGCTGCATATCTTATTATATTTAAGTTTTAAATGGATCACATGTTGCGTTCAGGGCTCTCCATGCTCGGAAGAAAACCACGGGGGACAACGTGCCGGTCCAGAAGATCGGTGACATCCTGGCCTCTGAGCTGTCCCACATGCAGCCCTACATCAGCTTCTGCTCGTCCCAGTTCAACGGCGCCACGCTGCTCCAGACCCGCACCGACAACGAGCCAGAATTCAAGGCGTTCCTCAAGGTAGGAGGGAAAACGAAATGAGGAAGGTCGGGAAGAGGTCAGGAAGCCTTTGGAGCCGAGGAAACGGGAGATTTAGTCTGTGTGGCCCAATAGAGCTAACCCAGAGATTTATAGAGTTAAATGGTATTTATTTTCTAATTTTACAGAGCCCCTTTGGGTAGTTGATAAAACCCATTTACAAACTGATAAAACATAAATAAATAAACGCCTCTGCATTCAAAAAGTTGTCACAATGATGTAATTTGGCAGAATACAGATGAAAACTGCATTGGTTTGATGGATAAAACAACCGTTATTTTGAAGGCTCTCAGAAGTGCAGAGGGCCAAACAACAGGGAAAAGGCGGGCCAGATTTGGCCCCCGGACCTCGAGTTTGACATGGTCTAGTCAGTTTGAAAACTGAAAGTCTTTCTGCTACAACATAAGTTTTGAGTTTTAGTTTGACTTTACTGAATGTAGTGTAATAAAAGAATAAAGTTGCATACAAACAAAATAAACTTAAAACAAAAGAAGAACAGTAGTAAAGTGTATTTATATTGAAGGAGTGGGAAGAAGTATGAACTTATTTTCACACCCACCCGTCTTACAGCTGCAGCATCATCCGATAAGTTACTATTCGAGTTTAAAATAACCGGGGCTCTTTTCAGGATTTTACATGTTATTGTCCAGCTTGAGGTATGTCTGAAGTCTTACATCTTTACATCCATATAACGTTTTTTAAAGCTGCGTCGCCTTTTCTCTGTCCAGAAAATCGCGACAGACTACAGGTGCAAAGGCATGCCGCTGTCCAGCTTCCTGCTGAAGCCGATGCAGCGGATCACTCGCTACCCGCTGCACATCAAAAACGTAGGTCGTCCAGTCAGTGACCCGATGCAGTCACTCTGCCGTCCGTTCGTTGTTGTCCGTTAAAGATGATCTTCGGTGTGTGTAGATCCTGGAGTGCACAGCAGAGGGCCATCCTGACCGCGGCCACCTGAAGGAGGCTCTGGAGAAAGCGGAGGAACTCTGTCAGCAGGTTCTTCAGATTTTAATCTGATCTCATTAATATGCTGCTGATTTTTCTTCGGGGTGAAGCGGCGACCAGACGTTTTTGTTTCTGTCCAGGTGAACGAAGGCGTCAGGGAGAAGGAGAACTCTGACAGGCTGGAGTGGATCCAGAACCACGTACAATGTGACGGCGCTGTGGAGGTGATGAGCGTTCAGCACTCATAAACTCAAAAAAGATATTATAATCCAGGAGATTAATTAATCTTCTCTCTTCTCACAGCATTTGGTGTTTAACTCTCTGACAAACTGTTTGGGCCCCAGGAAACTGCTGCACAGCGGAAAGGTGAGCAAATCTGAATCAACACCACTTTGTCTGCATGTTCTGAAGAAGACGGAAAGTTTAATGATTTAAATGTTCTTAAATGCAATAAATGACAAGGTAGCAAAAAATAACTTTAAATATAAGCCCTTACAGTGTTTTTTAAACCTTGATGAATTTGTCTCTAATAAAAAACATCTGAACATCCCTAAAACAACAAAAAAATGTATATACAGACACAGCAGTTTCAGACAGAAATATCCATATCAATATATTTAGTTGTGAATGAACGCATTACTTTATGTTGGGATAAATGACGGATCAAAAATTACTTTTTTTTCTGCCAGTCTCAGAGTTGCAATATTTCGAAAATATATCGAATGAAGATAAAAAAAAATTATAAAAATAAATACATTTTGGCAGATTTGAGGAATATTCAGCCCTAAATGGATTGAAAATAAAACTGGAACAGTACAAATTGTCCCTTTGCTGACTTTTAAAATGTGTAGATTTTCTTGTCTTTTCCAACTGTAATTTTATTGTTTTTTTAATTATTTAATGCGTCTGTTTTTCAGATGTACAAGGCAAAAAGCAGCAAGGAGCTCTGGGCTTTTCTTTTCAACGACTTCCTGCTTTTAACTCATGCTGCCAAACAGTTCACCTCTTCTGGGCCCGACAAGCTGTTCAGCAAGAGGAACAACGTCCAGCTCAAGATGTACAAACCAGTAAGGAACCTCCACAGAAACCAGTTTCATTTTTAAACATTAATTGTATTTTTATCCAATTAATCACCAGAATAATCAATAATCAGTTAAAGCCGCAGTAAAAACAGCATTTTTTAGCCTTTCAACTTGTTTGGTCGTTGATTTTCACATTTAACGTTGTTAAAATCACCCAGAATCCTCCACAGTGTTGAGATGTTTTTTTAATCTTGTGACCTAAATGGACTGATTTTGTTGAGTCGTCTTCAAAAAGTTTCCAGCTTTATTTTTGCAATAATAACATGCTCTTACAATGAAGTTTACATTTCTGGATGTAGCAAAGAAAAAAAAGAGAATTTTAACAGTGCAAAAGAAGAACTCTAATAAAACTAAACTAAAATGAAACAAAATAAAACTAAGCAGTAAAGAAAACCCAAACTATTATAACTCTGCCTCTGGCAGTAATTTTATTAATGTAGCACATTTTCAGCAACAAGGCAGTTCAAACCTTTACATGAATTAGAAGGAAAACAAAAACAACAAACCAAAAGAAAGACAAAAACTTAAAGGTACATGTTTGTTTAATAAAATTTATAAACTACTAGAAGTTTCTCTGGGTCTTAACTTTGTTCTGGATTAAAGAGGTAAAAAGCTAAGTGTTGGTTCCAGCTGTTCTGGGTCGAGTTCTAGATTTGTATAAAGCTAAATGTCGGGTCTCCATGTTTGATTCTGTGTTGCTAAGTAACAAGCTAACAGGAGTTTCTCTTGGTCTTGCTCCAGTATTAAGCTAAACGTTGGTCTAAAGTAATAAATACTCCACAGTTTATAAAAGTAGTGAACTAAACAGACAGACCAGGCAAAGAAATGACGCATTAGAAAGTGGAAACCCGTTTCCTCTTC